ATGGGCTTGTGTCTATTCTCATGCCCCACCTTCAGAATCTATTCCAACAAACTTCAATTCAACAGGTATGATGGTCTGCTTAAGTTGTGGTCATTAGTATGGTACATAATTTGTTGTCTCGTATAGACTATAGAATGTTTAACAAGCTACTGCCCCTATTTTTCATCTTCCTTCTTGGTTACAGGATATTATCATGAATTTATTAAGTAGCTTGCATACAGTGGATGTAGAAAATGGTACGTTCAAAAATCTGATGGTTTTATTTATTTATAAAAGATTTTGGTTTGGACCTGTTATCTTAAATTCTCCCTTTTTCTCCTTTCAGCTCCTCAAAATGGGAAATTGCCTCCTTTGCCCCGTGCTTCTGAAAATAATGGTGCTGTAAGCACACTCACCTTTCTCGTAATGAGATTTTTATTTTATTTTATTTTATTTTTTGTTGCATTTGAAAAGGCGTCAGTGAGAAAGAAAAACTTAGGCATCAAGTTAAAATCCAAACTTTTGATGCTCGCGATATCGATAATTTTATCCAAACTTAGGCATCAAGTTTATTAATTTCATATGAATGTAATGATCGATGATGTGAGCTAGTCAAACATTTTTCCCTCGAGTTTCAAGTGTGCTAAATGCTTAATCACTTCTAACCTGAATATCTCTTTTTTTTTTTAAAAAAAAAAAAAAAATACTTGATATGTGCACAGATGGAGATACTTGTTTCTGAAAGGGAACGAATGCTGCTTTTGAAGATCTCTGAACTCCAAGCAAGGTGAGTCCCCACGACACTACATAGGCAGTACAACCCTCCCCCAAAATTTGTAACCTGTTCTTGTAGTTTTATATTCCTGTGATTTCAAGAAATGCTGAACTCATTTCCTCAAAACCTGCAGGATGAATAGCTTGACCGATGAATTAACGGCTGAAAAACTGAAGCACATGCAAGTAAGAGTTTGTTTGCAGTAATGAACAATATGGATATTCCCCATCTTACGTGGGCATTGATGACAAGATCAAATGCTATTAGTATTCCCCAATTTTGTGCAGTTAGATGATATGATTAGCATCTCTGTCTCTATTGAAATTCCTGGTTGCAATTTCTGAATAATAAATGAACTGAAACATTAGAATTATACTAAACATAGTATTTTTTTCTTCCCTTCTTTTTTTAATGTCCTGGCAGTTGCAACAGCGGTTAAATGCTGCAACGGCCTGCAAAGATAATGGAGATAGAAGAGGAGGAGATTCATGATTTTTTTAGATGGCATCACTGTGTACATTCAGGTGAGGACTTGCAGCATTGTCATATCTCTATATTTTGGATATTCTTTTATGATTTTGCTGTGTTGGTAAATTTCACACCAGCAAGTTGCGCTTACTTGCAGAGTGAACAAAGCACGAACAAAAGTGAAGCAGTTGATGTACCTTACCTGGGATCTTTTTTTGCCACAAAATGCTGAATAGTAACAGTAGTGAGAGAAAATGATCCCAGCCTTGTTTGACAAAACAGAAGAATATACTCAGCCGAAGAAGATATTATTTTTCCGTTTGGGCCGGGGGAAATTAGCTCGCTGTGCCTTATGTGAGTTATAGCTTCGAGTCCATAAGAGAGAACCACAGGGTCATCTACTGTATCCTATTTTCTTATGTGAGTTATATATTTGTGTATGTGCCTGTGTTAAACTTCTGTGAATATGAAATTTGTAACACTATGCGCTGGTATATAGAGCACATTCTACAAGTGCTCCACCCTTATAGCGGGTAACTATATAGTAGGGGGTGGTGTATTCTGTAACAATAAGTTCTATAATCTTTTTACTTTATCTATAATGGATTTGGCTAGAATGTCTTAAGTATGACCGAGGAATGAAATCCATTCGAAATATTTATTTTTATTTTATATCAACTATGATTAATTTTGAAAAAGTTGCATAGTTTGTTGTTTGTGTGATATTGTGTTTTTATTAAAATAATATTTAAAATAAAATAATTAATGTTGATTTGATATAAAAGTAGCATATAGATGATGTGAAGTGATGGTTAGTTAAAATTATGTAAGTGAATGATTAGTGAATTAAAATTGATGTGATGTATAAAAATGATTGGTTGGTATTAGTTAAAATTAAAGATAGTGTGTTTGAGTTAAAATTGAATTAGATTTTGAATATAGAATGAATATGAATTGAATTATTTTTGTATACAAGTATATCAATAATTCATAATTATTTATCTAAGGCACAAATTAGTTCGAAACTCAAACGTTCAGCAATAATAACACATATACGAGCACCTAAACAAATATAGGAGCGAAATAAATAAGTTGAGGGTTAGCCCAGGTATCGTTCTCGGGACGGGGTTACGAAACAGGCAACGAAAGAAACGACACGAGTGGACAATGGGCTCGACGACTGCGTTTCGTCTCGCGGAGGAGGAGCAACGGCTGACGGCCCGTCGGGAGGCTGCTGGTTCACGGCGAGGGTTCACGAAAACATGCCGGAGCTCATGAGCGTGGACGGGACTCGCCGGACTGGTTCGCGATGGCGAAGACGGAACAATAACGGGCTCCGCGGTGATGTCGTGAAGGTGAAGGGCTCCTTGTAACACCCCGCCTAAACTTACTAAAATCAGAGTAAATTTTTCGCGCTATAAATAGAAAGCACTGATTTAATTTTCGAAAACTCATATTAATTTTTCAAAAATATTTTAACTTTAATATGCGGGATGCTACTCAACTTTAATCTTAAATCTTTAATCTTTAATATCTTTAAACTATTAGGCATGCAACCGAGTATAATCCATTACTCTAATAAGACGCCATGAACATCTCAAGATTTAAGCATGCATAGTCTAAAATTCTGAAATACTGGTCTGAAATCCTGAAATACTAGTCTGGAGTCCTGAAACACTGAAATACTATTCTGAAATCCTGAAATACTAATCTGAAATTCTGAACTACTGAAATACTAGTCTGAAATTCTGAACTATTGAAATACTAATCTGAATACTAGTCTGAAATCCTGAAATACTAGTCTAAAATTCTGAAATACAGTTCTAAAATGCGAAAGCAAATATAAGTTCAAACATCAAAGGCATACATGAAATAAATGAAACATAAACTAAGGCATAAATAATTCAAACAATACAAACAAGTCATAACACAAATATCCTAGCTCATGACCACCACCACATCCGGCTCACGCTCCACGCGGGACTCCATCACCTGAAAAATAGAGTAGTGGGGAGGCGTGAGCACAAAGGAATCAACGGTGCTCTGCCAGGACCGACACTGAATACTCAGCACAATTAATAACAAACTATGAATCAACATATATATGAATAAACTGGTCTGACTATGGAACTAACGGTAAACCGGTACTCACGTGCACACTCTGGGGATCCCCTCCCACAGAAATCCAGGAAAGACACTAATTACCCCATCTGGACGCTAGACTTAGGACGGGCCCTAATCACACACATCCAAGTCATAACTGAAATACTGAAATATTGACCAAGACGAGATCACTCATCCGTCTCGATCCTTCAATTTAATCACATATAGATCTCAGACATGGTAAATTATTAAAAGCGATGAAATACACAATACATGGTCCCCACCTGGAAACTGGCGAATGCAAATGCTGAAATATCTGAAATGGGTAGCTGATGGAGACTCGAATCTCGTCAAGCTACAAAATTTACGAGCGAAATATTTTAAGTACTGGGCCCAGAATAAAATTCGAATCTTTAATATCTTAATTGTCTAGGTTCGCTCACTATGCTTTAAAAAAATCATTTTAGGGATTTACGAGCTGATTTTGGAATTATTATTGTCTTTGAGGCATTCTAGAGTTCTCTGAAATATTTCTAAGTCTGGACTAGGTTCTGACTGAAATTAAATCTGACCGGGCTATAATCTAAGTAGACTTAAGTCTATCTAGATTTAAATCTATCTGAAATATATATCTGAAATTCTATCTTTGAAATTCTATCTGAAATATATATCTAAAATTCTATCTCTAAAATTCTATCTGAAATATATATCTGAAATTCTACTGAAATATATATCTAAAATTCTACCTCTGAAATTCTATCTGAAATATATATATGAAATTCTATTTCTGAAATTCTATCTGAAATATATATCTGAAATTCTATCTCTAAAATTCTATCTGAAATATATATCTGAAATATATCTAGAACCGTCCGGACTGACCGGACCGGTTCAATTGAACTGGACTAACGGCTTACTCAGAGCCGGTCGATCATTTGCTTGACTATGTGCAGCTCGGTTTGACCGTGGTCTGAGTTCGGCGTGGCAACTCGGGTCGGCACGAACTCGACAGACACGGCTTAGCCGATGCACGAGTTTTGAACGGTGCCACAGTCACTGACGCAGGGGCGTGCTTGGACCACGGCTAACGGAGACGACGCGTAGACGGTAGGTCGAATGGACTCGGTGCACGGGCACGCACTCGGGGGTTTGACTCAGACTCGGTGCACGGGCACGCACTCGGCGATTCGGCTACAACGGTAGGACGAGAGGCGATCACGTGCGCGAGACGACGATGCGCATTATGAATTAACAATACGACGACTTAAAATTATTCAGACGATACTAGGGTTCATACATTTATAGTCGGATCCGAAAAAATACCCGGTTACTGGAACCGGATAAAACTAGGGTTTTGATTCTAAAAATCCTAACTTATTTAAGGCTGATAATTAATATATATATTCTATGTGATTTATATGGATTTTATAAAACAACAACTGTAACTAAAATCATATCCGACTAATTTTCTAAAATATCGCATTACTAGGCTAAAGTCCCGATCTTATAACTAAGTCCAACGGTGTCCAAAATTCATGAAGTTCGAATCGTAGCATCTTTAATATACTTATAGTGTAACACCCCTCCTTATCGTAAAATCAGAGTGCGAGAAATTCGCAAAGTTATTAAAAATAAAACCTTTTACTTTGCGAAAACTGATTCGGGGTGCTACCTTAAAATCGTGACTTAATTTGGAAAAACCGTTATTTTAATTTTAATAAAATCATCCGGTTACTGAAAGCATAAGTTTCCCAAAATTTTGTCAAAAGATAAGTTCATCAAACATGAGTACGTCAAAAGTCATCAAACATCGTCAAAAGTCATCAAAAATATCATTAGCGGAAGCGTAAGTCATCATCATAAATATACAGTCAAAAACACAAATGTCCTGAAGCTTCCGTCACGTCACGTTCCCTGCCCGACATCCTGACCTGAAAAACATGATAAAGTGGAAAATGAGCACTATGGCACTGTGCTCCGTGGAAACTCATACTAATGTAAAACATCGAAAATAATAACAACATCATGATATCAGTATATACATAACCTCAACCTCAAGCCGGT